TCCCCATGTTGCCCTTTGCACACTAGCACTGGGATAACACCAGGCGCTGCCCTCTCCATGTTTTCCTTGAGCCACAGGATGCTCCCGCCACATGTGCCTGTCAGGAGGGCAATATCCACATATGCCAGCTCAGGATCTGCTCCCACCACTGTGTTTTAAACCCAAGAGGAACCTGTGTAGTTCACATTTCCTGTATAAACATGACCCTCTGATTGCCATTAAATAAACTGCTGCTCTGCAAAGCATGACCTGTCCCTGCTGAAGGGATGCCGGCATGCCAGTGATGGGCAGCCCACCCACAAGGGAACACTTCCCTCTGGCTCCACGGCTCAGCCCCATCCTCCGATTCTATCCTGTGCCCAATTCACGAGCACAGATGTTTTCATTAGAAAGTCATCTCCTCACAGCTCAGCTCCCCCTCACCTCTGCTGCAAGCGATGGGAACGATGCGCAGAGCATGCAGGACATGCCTTCATGGTGGGGTAACTCCCAGGGGTGCAAGGCTGTGATGTCTGGCAACTCCTCGTCCTGTGGAATTCCTAACTTGACTCCGTGTAACAAGCTCCAAGCGCTCACAGATATGCAAGTACATGGTCCTGTTGGGGCTGGGAGCAGAGCCTGTGAGCATGGTGGACACCCGCATGTCCTGTGGGACAGGAGTACATCACAGCAGTGTTATGGGCACCTGCATGCTGGTCTCAAAGCACAGGGAAAGGTGAGGGCTGCAGCCTCTCCTCACCTCCTAGCACCTAGTAAAAAGACTCATTTACCTGTCAGGATGCACAAAAGGACTGAACAACGCCTTGGGGAGTGCTCCTGGTGTCAGCAAGCCCCGAGAAAGAGAGAAGAAAGAAGAGAAACAACCTTCCTAAGGCCACAGGCCAGTGGCAGAGCTGGCATTTGCTGAGTGATCCCAGCTCCAAAGGCACTACATAACTCTCCAGACAGACACTGTCCATCCTGCCACACCAGCTCCTCGCTCTGCACCTTCCACCCCAGCACTGCCCATCTGCAGGGAAGGAAATACCTCTCTAAGGACAAAGAACTGACCTTTGGGAACAGCAGGAGCTGAGTGTTAGTGCCTGCCTGGTCACGGTGTCACCCAGAAAGGACAATGGCTGTCGATCACATTTAATGTAAGGCTGTATTTCTGTGGGGTGGTTGCCTTGTGAACATACCTGCCTGCGCTGGAGAGGAGTCAACTGAGATACTGCCATTAAGTCCTTCTTGATTACAGGAGCATTTCATAACCACACATGCTCAGTGTTATCAGTGAGGCAAAGCTCATAGGGGAAGATGCTCTCTGTTATTTAGACCAAGTGCTACAAGCAAATAAACCAAGTTTTCAGGCATGAAAGATTTTCCTGCTTCTTCTGCAGTCTGTCTTTTGGAAGAGCCTGGCATCCCCTTGCTCTGGGAACTGGTAGCAGGAACAGGCTGGAATACGCTGGTTATGGGTAGCAGATGGAAAATGAAGTAAGAAAAGTGGAAAAAGCCCCATCTCAGCCAGGCTGAGGTGCACACAGGCTCCCCCAACTCCCCTTCCCCTGTCAAAGCCCAAAGCATTTCAGAAGTCACTCAACAACAGCAGCTTCCCTGTCAAGACCGATGCTTTCAAAGCCAGTGTCCAAGCGCAGAGAAGCAGCCTTCATGCCTAGAAGCAAAGCATTTTCTGGGATGCAGAACGTGCTGTTTGTGCATTGCCATGGCCCCTCCACCCCAGGGAGGCAGAGGCAGTAAAATATTAGTCATAGACAATGCAGTACAGGCAGATTTGTGCATTTCAAAACCAGGATAACCTCAGTTGCGGTTGGGTTAACCCACCCAGGGCTTGACTCGAGGGGCCGAGCACAGCCAGCATGAGGGAGTGAATGATTCTGTGTGTCAGGTCAAACATAAGGCAGTGAAGAGGCTCTATGGATTAATTTGGCCTGTGGAATAGCATTAAGCAAAACTCAAGAGAAAACTGTTATTAAGATCACACTGAAAGACCATCTTATCCCAGCAGCATCCCGGGACACATCCTTTACACTACATGATCCTCATTTGGAACACACTCAACACACTGCTGTAGCTGCAATGTGCAGGATGCACCCCTAACACAGAGCAACTTTAGAAGCTCTGATTTCAGGCTCCAGCAACTGATGAAACAACAGGCACGACATAAAACCCTGCTGCCACCCTGGCAAGACTGTCCCTTTCCCTTTGTCACATCCCAGAAATGAAGTACTTGCACCGTGCCAGAGCTCCACAGCACCCACCAGCAGAGGCCAGTGGGCACAAACGGAAAAGGGGACAAGGGAGAGACCCCCAACTTGCTGCCTCTCAGATCTTAAGGAGAGCATCCTTTGCCTCTGTGCTGAGCAAGCAACCAAGAACATTCCAAGTGCATAGCAGCAGGGAAACCAGACAGACAGTAACACTGAGGTTGGAGATCACCCAGTTCGACCTCCCCACTCACACAGGGTCAACCAGGTCTTTCCCCTTCAACCATCAGGTGGGAGAAACACATTTCCAGCAGGATGAAGAGCAAAGTATGACTCAAGCAGCCTGCAGCTCTCCCCAAGCAGCCTCCAAGATAAGTCTGGGACCAGCAGGAATTTGCTCCAGGACATGGGCTGACTGCTCTGCTACAACTCAGCTGTGTTCTAGTTACATTTCTTATTTCTTCTATGGTGTAATAGCTTCAAAACCATGTCCAGATTGATTTTTTGTCCTGTGTCGGGGTCTGCCAGGATTACAGCAGTGCAGGCATCCACCCCTCATGGACTGATGGGGCTGGTTTATCATTTTAGGGCATGATTCTCAAACGGTGCAAACCAGCCTGGCTGGGTTGACCTCTAAAGCAAGAGTTTGTCTATGACCAGTAGAGCCTTTAGTAAGTAAAGTTATCTACAGAGTTGTTTATGACAGAACCTCCTTAAAAACATTTGGATAAACACTTTCAGACACTCTGTAGATGTTGCTTAACCCCTTCAGCACACTGAGACATTCAGCTTGAATGCCACTCCTGTGTCCTGATTCAATGTTGTTTAAAGGCATGCTTCAAAGGAAAACCTGCTTCAGAAGCAAGCCAAACCTCCAAATGTTGGGGGTTTGCCTTTTCTAATGAAGACCACACACCTTTACCTAGTGAACACACCACACAGATAGAAACAAAATGCCTTTTGCTCCCTGTGAGACAAGGATTGCTTGTCAAATTCTGCAATTCAGTGGTGGGCAGCAACCCCCTATGCAGCCCTGCCACAGTCTGACCACCACCAAAGCTGCTTGGCTCATTGGTAGGGATTTCCTGGATCTTCTACAAGATTCCCCATGGACACTTCTGTTCCCAGTGTATCCACTTCCCAGCTCCGGAGCACAGCCAGGTAGGAGCTCCTCCTGCCATAAAACAAATGCTCTAATAAAACTTCTCCAGCAAGGGCTGCCAAACAAAGCCTAGGGCAAGCTGCCCTTCTTGGGCTTGAATTTATGAGATGAGGAACCCTGGGTATTCAGAAATATCAAAACAGGAGAGGAATTCTGGCAGCTCATCCCCTCCTTCTCTCAGAGCAGTGCTGAGAGCACAGGAGCTGCCCTAAGCAGAGCTGTCAATGAGCCAAGAGCCAAACACGCAATAGAGAATAAACATGAGGAACACGTAAGAAATAAGCTAAAAGCAATATGCGCTTCTTAAATATCAGAAAGGGAGGAAGGAGTACTCTGCGCCTCTGCTCTTGATACTAAGGACCAACCTTTGAAGTGCCCAATACACACGTATGCTTTCTTGTACCTATGACACATCAGAAGGCCACCATCTCTTCATGTCATCTTCTCTCCTTCAAGAGAATTAGAAGAGTATATTTATTGTGTTAGGCAAAAAGTAGCCCTGGAGAGAGGGAGATCTGTCATGTAAGGCACAGGACACTGGAAAGATGGTATCACATAAGCAAGATGAGACATTTGCTTTCCATAAACCATTTCTGAGTTTTGGCTTTCCAAAAAACACACCTTAGGGTAAACAGCACAACATGAACCTGCTCTCAGCACCACAGCAATTCCTCACCTGCACTTACAGGAGCAGAGAGCACAGACAGCACGTTTAAAAATGATTTCTTGATGTAATGCAGATGTCAAAATCCCAGAACCCTTCAAATGTTCCTTAGAATTGCATTTATAGGGAACGTAAGAGTTTACATACCTGAACTGAGCCTGAACGAGCTGCCCATGCGTTTGCACAAGTCTAGTACATGTATCCATCTGGAACTGATTTTGATGACAAGGTTAAATATAACAGCAAGTTCTTGTATCTTATACAACACACACACAGCAGAGGACAACATGGATGCTGGCAAAAATCCATCCCGATAACAAATCAGCAATTCCCAAGATGGAACATCCAGCTTCAGAGATCTGTTAAAATATTCTTGCTGGCTAAAGGCACTTGCAATCTGGTTCCATCTGCTTTTTGTAAGCTTAGAACGTGCTTCAGTAACTTCATTTCAGAAGAAGACAGCTAAAAACGTAAACACTTGCAGCCCAAGGCCAGAGCATGTCAAACCATGACTGCTACGGGTAAAAATGCTACTTTTGGAATTAATTGCACGTCATTCTGTGCTCTGATCTACTTATCTCTTGTTTTGCTGCACATCTAGAGAGAAAAACACGTAATGATGTATCATAAAACTCACCAAGGACTTTTCCCTCTAATACCAATATGCTTCCCCAGTCAAAATGTAGCTTTAGTCTCCAGCCTTGGAATGTGTTTCAGATAAATTATCTTTAAGAGGTAACAAATATATTTTCCAATTATTTACTCTCCTCTCCAAACATCAAAGAAGCTCAAAATACCATGGAAATGTGTATCATAAATCCTCCAGACACTGGAAGTTATCTCTCCCTTTCACACACAGCTCAGAGAAAGCATAAATTCTTCGTCTAAAACCATGACAGAAGCAAAGAAGTCAAATATCCTGATCCAAACTCTTATATCTTGTCTATAAGATTTAAAATTCCCAGGATACACTTTGAGCTTTATTTCTATTTCCAGTACGTTATAATTATAAAAGAATGGTCTGCAGTCATTGTATAAAACCAGTGCCATGTATAACTCATGACTTTATGTATATATATGTATACTACCCAAATGATTTATTATAATCATCTATGCTTTCAACATTAAATACTTGATCCTGAAATGTTCAGTCAGACAAAAGCTCAGTACACAGAAAATTCTGCTTTAACCAGGACTGATTCCCATTCTTCCAAACCAGATGAGGACTCCAGTGTTGACTCATTCATTTATTTCATGGTCACAAGCATGTTCACAAGACTGTGACTTGTCTATATATAACTACTGAAACAAGCGTTCAAAGGGAAAATATACACCTCACATAAATGCCCTTCTAAGAGCCTTAACATCTGAGTCCAGAGCCTCAGCTGCTGTAAACTGGTCCAATGCAGCTGATTATGGTGGCAACACATTGATTTAGCTGATGATCTGGATAATTCTTTTGTCAAGAAATGCCAGACATACTTGAGAACAGCTACCCTTCCAACAGAACTTCTCACTTGAACGATGCCAACAGCCTACATGAAATTGTCTGGCTAGATACCAAGCAGTTTTTGTACATTATTCTCTGTTCTGGTCACTGAAAAGAACCCTCTTCACGAACAGCTCCACAAGTTGGCTTTGTATTGTAGAATGCATTCTGAAAACCAGTTGGGCAATTCAAAAACATATGAAAGCAATTATAATTTTAGCACTGCTGCAATAATTAAAACAGTGCCAGCTGTACATGAGCCTATTCAAATGTACAGCTGCTACACGGGTAATGGGAAAAATACAAAAGCTTCAGATTCTGTGCCCCATAATTTCTCAGACATCACAAACTCCGTTATTACCATCCCTGTTTATGACAAAATGCCAAAACAATAGTGTCCTTTTCCATGCTTTCTGGTAAACAATTGGTTCCCTCATCACCTCCGAGTCATAAAAATTGTAACATATTTTACAGTGATGTCCAATACAAGATGAAACTGGTATCAAGTAAAAACCAGAAAAATATTAGCTGATTCTCTTCTGCTGGAATTGTTGCCAGCTTTGGTCTAGAAGCCTCCTAAGCTTGGTAACTTTTGTCTTCAGTTGCCATTGCTGAGTCTCTCTGCTGTTCTTCAGGATCCCCTGGAAGAATACTGGTGACTGTCTGGAGAAGTGACTCAATCTGCTCTTCTGTGAGCCTTTCCTCGCTTTCTTCTACCATCTGCAGGTTAAAAAAGCAATGTATTGTAATCATTAAATCCATACTTCCTTCCTTGTTCTGAATCCAAACAGAAGGATTCAACTAATTGGGAAAGAGAATTCTCAATGGATGCAAGACATAGTCTGAGCTCATTGCCAAAGCATTTTACAAAGTGGAACTCTTACAATATTCAAAAATAAAGACAGAAGAGCTCCATTGTAAACTGCTACAATTGGCACTCCATAATGAGACCCTGATTGCTTTACAGCAAGCAGAATGACACACTCAGAACAGACTTTCCTCCCTGGTTTCTTCTAAAGCCTCTCGCATCGGTATACATTTGTATCTTGAGTCAGGCTTTTCATTTAGCTCATGTGCAAACCTACCTTCCAGGCTGATTTTCCTAAGTTCCTGTGCTTTCATGTATGAACTGAAATGAGATGACAGAGAGCGGTTAACTGAACCTTTCTATCTTATCCTGTACCTAGACTATAAGCAATCAGGCCATTAAAGAAACCACCTCATCCTAAGCAGCTATACTTTATTGGAATGTGCTTAGATTGTGAGATTCCTGAAGATAAAGGCATACAAAAGCTCTGAGCAACACAAAACACGCTGTCACGAATCAACAGTAAAATTCCCTACAATTAATTAGGGCCCTACTCTCACTGTGGAGCTGTGGGAACTCTTATATCACTGCTACCAGTTAAAACAAGTGCCCTAATTTATAGGCAGCTGTTAAAAGGAAAAGCTTGTCAGAGGCCTGGAAAAGCAAGCCAAAAGAACTCTTGAAACGCAAATGAAACCAATTAGGATTGTGGGGTTTGAGATTTTCTTTTTTATACAAAGTCCTTTAGAATGCCCTTTGAAGCACAGTGATTTATATTAAATTATGATTCCAAGTCAATGCAGCTTTAATCAGTTCTAGCTATAAATTGTCAGCTATTCAGACACATCTTTGCCTTGTAAAAAGCAGAGTGGTATATTCAATTAACTTTTTTTTTCCCCTTCAATGTCCTGTGAGCCCTCTGCACAATCTGATCACCTTTCATCAGCCATTACCCACAGATACTAGATTCCACTCATGCAGCACAGAGAGAGAGTGAATATCCATTTGCAAATGACTGTTTCTGGGGACTATCCCGATCACAGGATGAAATTCTCTGTGGAGTGGCTTTCCAAGTACTGTTAGTTCAAGAACTACTGTAGCACCCTGGCTTGAAAAACAGCCCTTGCTCTCATTACCACCAGCTGCTATACTATACATTGTGCATTAGAAGATACTAAGCATCCTCCTAATATTACCCTTCTGTGTAAGCAACTGCTGCAGCTACTGAAGTGGTATCAGGTAATTGCCTGCTAGGCTGCATTTCAGAAGTGGTCATTTCAGCCCCTTGACTAGCATACCTTGGAGCATCAACAATATATAATCCAGCACGCTGCAGTGTGTGCATACACCCCCCGTTGCCAACACTGCTGACAAAGCCACTACTCTGTAGATGATCCATGCTATTAAGCTCTGTAGAGGATTATCAGCCTGATTTTTGGACTGGGTTATTAATTCCTGTTACATTGAATTTGAAAGGTCACAGTCCCATAGCAGCAGGAACCGCACAAAGAAAAAGCCCACATCCTTTGGACAGGCAAAATCACTTAAGGCAGGATGCTTTTTCTCTTAGTGGCCAATGTCTCCCACATTTATTACCATCCCACTGGTTTCTGATCTTCAGAAAAATGGCCCTTTGCCTGGTTTAGGTTTCATTTATTGGATTACATGAGGTCGGACCCTCTTCCCCATTTAAATTTTATCCCTCCCTCTATATCTCCTTTCCATTTCTCCTCCAAACACTTTCTCCTTTAGGTGCTTGCTTCAGGTAGCCAGTAGCCACAAGAAACTTAATCAGCACTCAGAACAGAGAGTGACTTCTAGATCAGCATCAACTCTCTCAACTCCTGCATTTAAGGACACTTATATGAGTGTCGAGTAACTGCTTCTGATGTGCTCCTCAGTGCCAAATGAGTAATACCCCAGCTCCAGTATGAACAAACATGTTGGTGTCATTTGTACTGGCTGAACACAGAAGCCTGCAAGACCGACAAACGGCGGATACGACTCAGGACATCAACAGATGAGCTCTGGTGGTTGCTGTGACAGTTTAAGAAACCATACTTTACCAGCAAGTTGATGAAAGGAAACAGTCTCACATGTTTCAGATGCTTTGACGCTGATGTCTCATTAAACCGTTGTGAAAAGCATCTTTAAAGAAAGATGCCAGATATTGCACTGAGGAGTGGGTAATGTAGCTCCAAATTTCCTTCTGTTGACAGATCCACAGCCTCTGCCAGAGGGAAGTGGTAATTCCTTAAACTACTGCAGCAAACTCATCAGGGGCTCACCTCTTCGTGTCTCCGAGCCATGCATCCTCACTACCAGCTCCCACACCAGGAACTACCAATAGTCAAAACTCTGTATTAGGCAGGATAGACAACTTATTATTCCAGTTGATGCTTCAGCACTATTCTGCTGTGATACTAGTCAAGAGTTCAAAAGATCAAACGCATAAGCTATAAGAATCAATTTCTTTCACTCCTCAGGGAAACAGCCTGAGCAGTGATTTATGAAACATAAGCAATTAGGAAGCAGCAAAGCAGGATGCCAAAAGGAAAAGCACAAAGTTAAGCACAAAGAGCATGTAGATAGGGGCAAATGAAACTGCCAGAAAGGAAAACAGATCTCAAGGGAAACAGAAGGACACTCAGAAGCTTATTCTAGATTCAAGAGATATTTAGTCTTCTGATTTATAAGATGAAATACCTTTGCTACTGATAGTACTAGGAAATAAAGATACTCAGAAGAGAACTTAAGCATATGAAAAAGCCTAGGAGGCAAAAAGAAACAACTGTATTCAAGTACCTGCTTTTCCAGCAAGAATCTTAACAACAGAGGAAAAAAAATCTATCAAAAAAGCCTTGCTGATCTCTAACTTGCAATTGGCTGACGCTGCTCAAGCAACAGCTTCAAACCATGAGCAGTCAGGAATGCAAAGTTTATACTAAGGAAAACAAAAATGCTAATGTTTTTTAATAAGTGTATGACATAAGATGTTTATACTGGCAGTGCCACAGGCACCAAATGGAAGCAGATTATCCTCACACATGATGCCATGTGCTAAATGTAGGGTATCGTCAACCAAAGCGCCACTGAACTGTGAATCTGCAAGTTGCAGGGATTTGTGCAAGTAGCAGAATTAGACAGTGTTATAGTAACACAGTTGATAGATAAAAAGCACTTCTCATAGACAAATGCTTGTCTTGCAGCATGAGGTGCTGCAAGACAAGCATGTCTCCTCAGCCTGAGAGCAAGGATTTGCTTGAAATGTACACAAGAGACAGGCAGTAACCCATGTCAGCTATGCTGCTGCTTGTAATATGTAATTCCTGAGCAGTTACAGCTTTTCAGCATTCAAGTCTACACTATCCCAAAATAACTGCAGTGTTTATGTAGCAAATGTTATAGCATACCAATGTCATTCATACATACACACAGCGTTTGCTAGGAAATGGAACTACGTGGTCAAGATCAACTCAGTCAAGTCAGACCTCCACGACTTCTTATTGCACTCAAACTTGTAACAGTTATTAAGCTATCACGGCAATGTATTACTACACTATGCAATTTTCCCCTCCAGCTAATGCTCTAAACAATATAATCCACAAGACAACTACAGAACAGCAGCAAAGAAGGAAACGGGAAAACTTTGCTTATAACTGGCACACAGTCCTTACAGCTAAAAAAGGGAAGCATGTTCCCCCTGCAGCTAAGATACACTTTTCAAGCCTGAGTACCTAAAGTTGATTCTTACTTTATCAACTAATGTACTGACAAAAACAGACAGATCTTCAGAACTGTGGAATATACACAACATACTCATAAGACAGCTGAAGCCCCAGTACTGCTCACCTTTGAGAGCATTGTTACCTGTATTTAAAAGTCTAATAACCAATTTTCCACCTGCTTAAGCACCTCATAGCTACAAGTGTTAAGCCATAGCTTATGTATTGACTTAATTTCAAGTACTCAAGGAGTCCAACTAACTTCACTGGACTTAAAGCTTAAAATCAGGCAAACATTTATTAAACGGAGAATATAGCAATGCCAATCCTGTTCTCTCCACATTCATCTACGGATGGGTTTCCTAACACAGCAAAATGAAACACGCATCCAACATCCATCACTGAATGTTGCTACATGAGAATGAAAAGACAAATCACTTGCCAAGTGCGGAATTAAACACTGGCAGATGCCTTGCACAGTAACATAACCACTACTGGGAACCAGAGCTGGGCTTATTAAACAAATGTGTATGTGGAATATTTTAGTACCACGCAGCCCTTCCCAGCTGCACATTTTAACAGTAGCTTTTTTCAATGGAGCACTGTGTATGAGTTTCTCAGAGGCACAAAACAACCATAATTACCAAATCAGAACGCAGTAATAGAATTCCATTAAGCAGTAAGTCCCATTAAAGCCTGCTGATACATTCTCACGGCAGAAAGCTAATTTTCAGAAGCTTTTGAAGACTTCATTTCTGGAACAGGTAAATCAGAAAAGCCCAGCTCGCCTAACTACCAAGCTAATTTCAAACATTAATATGTTTGTTCCTAAAATAAATGTGTAAATCTGCACGTTAGTAGTGCCCTGTACACATGTAAGCACAAAACATGAACACAGACAAATAACCATGCATACTCGCTCCTTTTTTACCTGTGAAACAAGGACAATCATTTTAGGAACGTGCTTTCCCTAATTATAGCCATCCCTTGTCTTTTCTGCTTACTCAAATACAAGCAAAGAGACTTCACCATCCTCCCTGTGCTCCTTTTCAGCGTTTAGTCTCTTGAGACATGACAATACACTGCTAATTGAGAAGCATAAATTAAGCCACACTAAAGAACCCTGCAAAGTTCTTTCAGAACTGAGAAACTGTCTCAAGGATAATTAATATTCGATGGGTAACAAATCTCAGCATTACAGAAGAGAACAACCTGTGGGTTAAAAGCTATTGTTTATTTGAATGCTAAGCTAAAAGCTCTATTTAAAAAATAATCAGTGAAAAAGAGGGGTCTGATCCTTTCCACAGCTATCAAGCACATAATTGAACTCCAGTGTAGGAGATAGGTATTTTATGAGAAAATGACTGCTATTTCCTCCTTTGAGCAGTAATTTGAAATTGTTCAGCAGGAACATGCTCATAGAAGAAAAGGCACATAAAAAAGAACTAAAGTTAAAGACTGAATGATTGGATTAATGTCCCTCAGAGATAATTAACCAAGTATGCAAAGTGGGGAGCAAACTATACGGTCGAGAACGTAAAATGATGGAATCCTCTTAACGTCTTTTGTTTCCAGAAGGATATTTTACGTTCTTATTTTTCATTCAACAATAAAATACCATTTATCAGGCTGGTTATGCAGAGCACGTAAGATGCAGTACCAAGCTCTCTGAGATGGAAATCTAGTTTTCAAAAGCACAGAACTGAAATCCACTTTTCCATTCAGAGAGAAGAATGTGGAGCAATTTGTTAATTAGAAAAGATGATGTTTAATCTTCAAACCCATTATGGTTCAGCATTAAGTAAAGCTGGCCCACTGTCATGGTTAGATGAGCACCACTGTTTTGTTTGTTGTTCCTCCTTTGTGAATTGAATCACTGAGCCGAGAACAACATATGCTAAAGATTAAAACAGGAGGTCAAGATAGCTGCAATGTGTACAGTGTTTTACCCTGTGGGATATGAATTAGAATTTCATGCTCCTTTTGTTGCTATTGTTGTTTGAAAATAAATCCTCACACGCAGTCCAGAAAAGACAAATATGAGCAATTACAGCGATTTATGCCTAAAGATTTACAAAGGAACTTGAGAACAAAAGAGCGCAACATAAATTTGCCTTTTAGCTTAAATACAATTTTATCAAAACTGATTTATAGTTTGCACGCAACAAAAGACAGAGAATTTTATAGAAGGGAATAAAACCACAAAAAACTGGAAAAGCAAAAAAGCAACAAGCAGTAGTAAATATAACTATCCTCTCACATCAGCTATTAAAAGTCTATCAGATAAACCTGACTCCATTCCATGGACAGGCAGCACTGAGTAAAAGTTTGAGACATCAAAACTATTAAAGTATGTGAGAGACAGAGATACAGCTTGTGTGGCATTTTGTTTAAAGCTTTTAAGACTGATTTGCCTACATTAGATGAAGTGGTCAGAAGTCTTCATCATCATGTATTTCTGATTCAATCCCAGGAGCAACTCAAAGCTTTTCAGTGGCAGGGGAAAGTTTGATGAAAAGAGAATCAAGGTGATTTGAGACCTAGTATTCACTTCTCTGTAAGCTGTCTCTCATTCATCACCTGCAGTGAATTGACTTGCCTGCATGAAATATGTGAATGGGTAATCTTCTTCCTATTGACATCAAAGAAGAAAACGCTGGTAGCCTCCAGTGCTCTGCATTATTTCATACTCAAAGATGCTCAGAGAAGACAGGGTTTGTGTGTTCAAAAGAAGCTGCACTGCTACAATCTCTTTCCTCAGTCCTTACCAAACCCCAAAATCATTCAAGAGAGCAATCAAACTACAAAACCATTTCCTTGCTTCTAGTCTCTGCATTTCGCTAACAAAAATGGCCTGCAGTTTCCTAGCAGTTACTGCGCTCAAAAGACTTTGATGTGCTTTGATGAAAGAGTAAATGTACTGCAATTCTGGGGAGGCTTCATATAACACAGTGCTAACAGTCCAGTCAATTGAGATTACTGTAACACTAGTGTTGGAGAAAGTTGCCCTGGCAATTACAGGGGTATCACAATGGAACAGAAGTAACTGCATCCCTAATACTTCCATGACGATACAAATTCAGGTTGGTCCTCAAATGCATCAATATTATAAGCTGCTTTTGATCTTTAGAGAAGGGTTACATATTAGTAATGGACATCAAACTTGAATCTCTTATCTGTATCCTGCAAGTTTCAGCAGTGAGTTTTATCTAACCTCGACATTACAAACCTTGGAGTATCTGAAGTACGACACTCCACAGAAACCTGATTTCCAATATAAAGGCCCAATTTTCTTACACTTGTTTCCTGGACTCCAAATGTGACACAAGAAAAAAACTGCTTTCAGTATTTTATGGCTAGGTAAGATTACCAGGAACAAGGTAGGATAATGAGGAGAGGAGGGAAAAGACAGACAAAATCACAGAGTCACCTGAAAGCAGCTGAAGACCACTGAATTGAAAGAAGGGGAAAATAGACCACATATGGCCTACATAGGAACATTACAAATCTTTGTCTTAGCATATACAAAGGTATGAGACAGGCTCTATATCATCACTTTTAACTAACTTCCTAAGCAAAACTCATGAAGCCTTAATGCTCTTGGTTGGGCTGATGATTGACACTGATCTCCTCAATCACAAAACAGAGTATTAACTCCTCAGCTAGAAGCATTCTTTTATGAGATGCCTTCAGCATTATAATTTCTACTCCCTGGCTATGAAAGAAAAATAGTCCTACTGGTACCGCTTTAATCCTTCCCTTTTTTGCAGCAAAATATGATCCTGTTGCTACACAGTTTGGTTTCAGAATAAGATTGTAAACAGATGGTCTTAATGGAAGAGATATTTACTAAAAGAATATCCTTATTATAATAACCTATTACCACAGGATTTTGTATTCCTAAGGAGATACTTCAGAAAATATAATCAACTATTTCTATCTAGCAACAATCCCTATTTACATCAGAATTGTGCTTAACAGATTGACAATGGATATTTTCCATCCAAAAGTCTGTTTATATCCATTTCTCAATCTGCACAACTGCTCAAAGCTCCATATCAGTCATTATTTGATCCTTTTTAGTGTGTTTGGTTTTACTGTAACATAAAACCCTGCCATGAAAAAGATCAAAAAATCAAGTACTTGATTACAGAACAGCAGCAAAAAGACTCAGGTTAAATACATTCTTAGTTGTAATACCCTAACTAACCTTTAATGACTGCACTGGGCATTTTCACTATGTGACACTAAAGCAAACAGAGGTGGAGAATCTGTCTGAGAGAAAGATGGGCAAGTCTCTAAGGACGTCTCTGAGAGGAAGCAGAGTGGATTTGCAGCCATGAAGGTAAAGATGTGCATAAAGGGATACATTCAATAACTGACTGTAAGAAAGTAATTATTCAATTGATCTTCAAGGTTAAAGCTGCTTTCATTTAAGCTCTGAACAGTCAGGAGCATTGTTACTTACCAGCTGTATTTCAACTGCTGTCACAGGCCTGTGGTTAAGCAACTGGAGCTTTTCTGCCCTGTTTAAAAGCAAAGCGTAAAACAATCCGCATTACTATGTAATTTGAGGATCCCCTCAAATGACTGGGAAGATGCAAACACATTCCTGATAACTTAGGGGTGAAACACCACTGCCAAGAATAATTCTGACTGGGTTTGCAGTGTGGTTTCATTGCCATGATAATTTGGATATTTTAAATACACTATTTTCTTATGTGTTTAGACATACTGCTACTTCTGCCTTCAGTCTAAGGTGGCAAGGCAGAGACCCCGAGATCATTACTGTACAAGCCTTAACTAACATGCACTGTTGCTTTGGTAAAAGCTGTATGGAAACACTAAACAACTTGTCAAAATATCACAGACTCTTTTGCTGGTTTAACATACAAGTGACAATTCACTGATGACAATAATTCAAGCACTTCTCTTTACCTGCCCATTTACAGTAACTCAAAACACTTCTGATCTCCTGTCTATACTCTAAGGCAGACAGAAAGCAATTCAGATTTGCAGTCCCGTGCCTTTAACACAAAAGCCTTTCAATCAATATTAACTTCTTTTGTTTTGACTTAGGTATGAACCATGTTGCATCTCTTTTTAATAGTTTCAATTCCATTCTCCTCTGCCTGCAAGGGGGGAAGTCAGTAAAACTTGTCTGACTTTGGTAGTTAAAACACAAAATACTTCAATACTCCAGAGAGACAGGGTAGCACCACTGAAGCCTGTGGCAAAACTCCTGGTACATTCAGAACCATCATTAAGCTCACCCATCCTCACTGTTTTACTGGATTCATTTTAACCAAGCAGCTATTAGCTCTACTTTCTCATCAAGAAATCATGACTCACAAATGTCCATTTAAACACTTTGATCATCCAAAGAAATTAAAAGAATGGGTATGAGAGAAAATATTTCATTGACATTTAAAAAGCTCTCTTCTTTTTTCATTTTTATTTTGAAGACATGATCAAACAAGTATGTTCATTAAATTCAAACCACAACATTCAGGCAATAGCTCTGAATTATTAATCTTACACCCTACTTAAATACAAATAAGTCTAAAACCAAAGTAAAAAAACAGCTGTCATATGCCAGTAATGCATATTTCATTCAGTTCAGAAGCTCAAAACTCTGACCACATAATAGCAGCACATCTAATGCTGGAAGCTGATCTTTGTGTTTCAGAACAGAGAAGCACAATACAACACTGCTAAAGCTACAACAGATGTGTAAAAGCGTGTATGAAACACTAAGAAATGCAGTTTTATAACAAAAACATACAATTAAAGTATAATAAGAAGAGGTAAGAAGAAACTTGAGAGGGTACTGGGGGGTAGGGAATCTTGAATTATTATTACTTGATATACAGCCTTTCCTAGCAGTCATCTATTTTTTTATGCAGCACACCTTTATTGCACACATTCACATGCTGAAGTGAGAAGTGACAGACAGCATGCCTGAACTGTCTGGTACAGTAGTAAGTTACCATTCTGAAGAACTAAAGCTTGGAATTTATTATTATTTAAAGGGCATCTTTAATGCACATTTATACTGTTTCTGAAGAGCATTACCCTGGTTTATTGGACCTGTGGGCGGTTTAGAAAGGAAACTGCGCAGCTTTCAAGAGAACCCAGATCTCTCCCACGCAGGCGTTTACAACCCACAGGTCTATGTCTGTGTGTCTGAAGACACTTCAGACGTACTGTCCCATCTCACATGGCCTCTTGAAACCTAACTCCAGCTCACAGCTTGTAACGCCGTCAGGCACTTCAATGCTTTATCATTCATGTATGCACAGTGGTGCATGCTCAAAGACCAAGGTGCTTGAGCTCCTCAGGAGAAGCCTTTGCCAAGCACACATGTATGTGTTGAGACTGAACGTAATAACTTCAGAAGGCACCAGGCTGACACCCAAAGAATAAGGCCCTTCATTTACCCACTAAACACACCGAATGAGCAGCACTCACGTAACATTTTCCTGGCTGATGTCTCCTGAAGGAAAAATCCTGTATTACCACAGACTGGATGACCTAACAGGCCCTCCTCAGCTAAAATGCCCACGATTTCAAGCGATGGGAACAGGACTATGGGGGACTGTGGCTCAGGGAAGACAACTGCTCTGCTGATGGGCTTTGTTACTACCAGAGGGTTTTGTGATGTGTATTCACAGCCCTTAAGAATAGGAAATAGCTTCAAAGAGATGACTTGGTTTCAGATCCAGCCTGCTGGTAATGAACCCAAAATCCTGACAAAAGAAGAGTTTGTAATTGTTCCACCTAATCCCTGAGCCATTCTGCCACCATTCGTATAAATGCTCGGAAAACATTTTGACAGTGATGCTCAGCTTCAAAAGAAAAGCTTGTCATTTTTTAATACAACATTTGTGAAATATTAACAACTCAGAAGAGAGAGCTCCAAGGATTCCCCCTATATATTCACTTACCATTAAAAAGCGTACATAATTGAACACCTTCAGTTTACATTTACTTTACAAATGAACCTGTATTTTTACACTCTACATTTCAAAACTGGAGAGGAGGGTAAAGAATTAAAACTTGCACAAAGGAGGGGAAAAAAGGAGAAAACCTCCATTGTGATAAACCACAGAACAGTTCAAAATGCCTGTTTAAAAATGAGCTCTAATATTTTGGGTACCACCCAATCCTTTGAATCTTCTTTCCTGCTTCTACAGAACCACATCAGAAGATGTTTCTCAGTCTTCATAAAAAGTCTGCAGTGTAGTGACATCTGGCATGTGGATAAATGCAGATTTCACCTCGACTTCAGATTTCACAGTTAAAAGACTACTCGGACATTGAGTTCGCCCTCACTTATTTGTGTGCCTTGTGCAAAGTAGGATGGATCACGATCCCCATTTATCCCCATTTTACTGACAGTAAGACTAAGGGAGAACAATTAAGTGATGAGTGCTTTAAAGGTGTTGGGTTTTGGAGGTGTTAAGAGTGAGGAAGAGATGTGGTATGGGAGAAGGAAAAGGAAGCCTCTTAAGAGAGTAGGGGCACCAGATGTTTCTATGTTCTTTGAGGCCTCTACTAACTCATGCTGTGAAGGAATGCACGCTCATGGCCTCTCTCCAGACCTCCTTCATCTTGGAGATCCTGCAGTACCCCGAAAAGGATCTGTCCTTGCACTCATGAACTGTAAGGTGCAAAAATACAGGAGGATGCAGGGGAGAAGGTTCTTTGTGTCAATTATAGTATAAATCAGTATTTAAAGGCAGTGACTGTAGTGACTACATTCTCTATTCCCTCCTGAGTAACTGTTTACATTTTCCTCACTCTCCTGTTAACACTCCCTTGGCAACACAGGGTTTGGTCTTAACTTCTGAATCCTGTGATTTTACAGACATCACAAAGGAATCAGAATTAGCTTGGAGAGCCAAATTTAGATTGCTTTGGGTTTGGAGAATCAAGCATGAAAGCCAAATATGTTTCCATTGGTGGGAAGCAGTGAATACACCTCCTCCATTTTCCCACGCTAACCACTTATACCTATTGGGCAGCTTGACCAGTACAGCAAGAGACTACTAAAAGCATGGCTGAATTTAACACTGAACCAAGAGCACCACTGTTGGCTGGTTTGTCAGAAAGATAAGGTATTGGTAACTGCTGCCGTTTCCTACTGTCAGAAGTAATGAAGGACAGAAAGAAAACCTTAATGCTGTCAGGAGACAAGTACTGAAATCCTTTACACTAGAACTAAAATTGAGAGGTCATTTAAGGAATTAATGAGAGAAAGAAACACACCTTTGTAAAACTGTAGCGAAAGACATCGCTGCCGTAAAAGCAGAAGTCCTAATAGAGCTGGGTGAAGAATATTAAAGATCTCCTGGCTAATTCAATTGAATGAAGGCATGAAAGGTTTAATGTTTTTTCCCCAAGAGCTAGGAAACTGCCTGGTTCTGTGCCTGGAGCACTTGACAGAGGCACAGAAGCTGCCTCTCTGGTCCTGGCTTTCAATGTTGTTTGCTTTATGGTCCCTGGCCAAACACATGTCCATACCTCAGTTTCCAGACAGCTAAAACAGAGACGTTATTTTCAGTTCTCACAGGAGAGCCAGGAGGATATCTCCTTGTAAAACACCTCCCCTTCCTCCCAAAGCCCTATTTATAGACTTTTACATCCACTGTTTAATGAATTCATAACTGTATACAAGTTTTTCACTGCACTGCACACTCACATGCCACTTCTCACATCAGTCTTTTCAAACAAGTCATTCTTCACTTCTGCAGCAAGCCATATCCCAGTCCTATCCTATAGCTCCACCACCTCTCCAGATGAAACATATAATTTGACTTTTACTGAACCACACATACAAGAGAGATTCTCTTATTCTTGTTTTTCAAAGCAGTACCTTTGAAGTTTATTTCCAACAAAACTTCAGAGCCAAATAAACAGGCTCAAAGAGCCAAAGCCATATCATGCCTGTGCTGAAGAATGCAAATCTTACTTATACACAGCTATTTTACAACACATACAACTCCATCATGTTTAGCACTGAAAGACTACTGGCAGAGCAGTAAATAACAGAAGTAAGTTAAACCCAATGACACGCGTGATTAAACCGATCAGTGAAACTGTTCATGTTTGCTTAAGACGAGAAATATAGGACACAATAAAGGTCACCTGTCAAATACTTTTTGCTTATAAAGCCATTAACATTTCTGTAACTCATTAGGGAACAGACAGAAGTGTTACAGATGGGACAAAAGGAATAATGCTGAAGCATTATTTCTGCAAAGATCATATCCTTCACAGTGTTTGCTGTTTCTAAAATGTGTACAGAAGAATGAGAGATAATTTGCAAGGAAGTAATTAGAATGTGTTAGCTGAAAAATTTCATGCCTGGTTTTGATCTGTCAAGCTCCCTACTGGAAAAATGACTCAGAACATCAAAAAGGAATTAGCACCAGGGTGCAAGAAAACAAAAGCTGCATAAATGACATATTTCCTCTGAAGGTGCTTGTGTAGTGTTACAGGGGTTTAGAAATCATAAACACCA